CCTAGTCTATATACCTGCAAACGCGAAGCACAAAAAAATTGTATTACGGCAAAGGTAATTCACTCATACATCAGATTATTCCACGAAAACAATTTCATAAAATAAAAATGTTTACGCAAGGAGGTTATAATATGGTTATAAGATGTAACCATAAGTTTATGACCGTGGTATAGATTTAAGTGTCTGGTTGTGCAGGGAATACGCGCGATATGTGCGCCCAGCACTTTTGGGGATTTCCACTTTACCGCCCGCTGGACGGAAAAAAGACGCTTTCTAACGCTTCAACCGCGGTCGAATACCAAATTTTTGGTGCAGGCGTGACAAATAGTATATTGTGTGGCAAGGGCGGAAATCGACTTTCCGCACGAGCCACACATACTATTTTTTGTCACTCCTCTGCCTTCATCGATCACGGCAAAGGTAATGCAGGGATCTGTGCAACAACTAGACTATAATTATTATACGACAACAATATTTCATGAAAGAAACGATTTGGTTTTATTTACTTTAAGCGTCACGCGTGGAGGTTATAACATGATTATAAGATGTAACCAAAAGTTTATGCTTTTTAAAGACCGACGACCGTGGTATAGATTCCATAGTCAGCTGTTTGTGCAGGGTATACGCGCTTGAAATGTGCGAGCAGCACTTTTGGGGATTTCCACTTTACCGCCCGCTGGACGGAAAAAGGACGCTTTCCAACCCGTCAACCTCTATCAAACACCAAACTTTTGGTGCAGGCGTGACAAAAAATTTATATAACGTACAATTCAATACTTATATATATAGGTAGGTATTTATTACTTATATATTTTGTTAATTTTAATAATAATTATGAATGCATAATATACGTAGTGTAGTGATATATTATATCAATAATTTTATTATATTTTCAATATACGCAAGATATTTATAAATTATAAATTAAATAATCAATCTACCTCGGATCGTCACTAAAACTCCAGTTTTTTTTTTGATTCCATCCTACCAATCAATCTAATTATGCTATAATGTTTCAGAAAACTGATCTGAATTCGTTGGAATGTCTACTTGAGATCGGTCAGTCCACATTTTAAGATTTCTGCTTTAAATTCCAAATAAATCCCTAATAATCAACGTTTGAAAATTCCGAAATTTCAAAATATTCAAGCTAAATTTTTAGTGGTTGGGTGGGGGGGGGGGGGTTAGGTTATTATAATTAATATACTATAAATTATAGTATTTCGTCAGGAACGTTTTTTCTCGGCTAGCCCCGTATCGTGCCATAAAAAACTTCGTTTCAAAAATCAAACAACTGAATTCATTCAACTCATTGCTGACGAAAAACGATCCTGAACGAAAACGGTTTGTCAGCCTATATAAAAGGTAGGTATTATGTATAATATTTGAATGAAGGTTAAATCTGTGCTTGAAGAGAGGTTGGCTATCTAGAGCTAAAATAATAGTATATAGCTGAAAATGATAATTTAAGAACCAGTGGAATGTTTCAAGTTATATGATTAATACTTTTAGAATAACAACACGAAATTAAAATCGTTATTTACGCACAAATATCCCATTTCGAAAAATTTAAACTTCAGAAAAGAAATTTTTGGAATTACGAGGTTACTTTTTTTTAAAAAAAATATTCCAGTATCTATTTCTAAATTCTAATAACAACTTATGAGGAACTTTTTATTATATTTTAAAATCTTTACTCTTCAGTATGGATATTGTGATCAAATGTGTAATTGCTCATAAAAAGTCGAATTATTTTTAAAATTACACCATGTTGTAATGTAGCATGGAAAATGCTAATAATAACATATTTTGGTGAACATTTCAAGTAACGGTCATTTGTTTTTGAATTACAACAAAATAAGAAAAATAATTTTTCCACAGTTATTTTGTAAAGTATTAGAAATTTGAGTAATTGACACATCAATTATAAGTGTAAACTATATCCAATTTGCTACCAGAAACTACCCTCAAAGTTGAAAATGAAACATTTTTACTGCTCCAAAAGGTTTTGACTTTTGTCTAAGAAAAAATAAAAACCGCACATAATTTTAAAATCAATACGAACGCTCATCGTTCAGGAATCCAAAATGTATAGGAAATTTGTTAACTTAATACCTACCTAGCCACCTTGGTATTATTATATATAAGCATTGTGAATATTTGTGATGGTAGGTACATCGTACAATGCACGTCAATACGTCATGGTAACTAGATGTACCATTTATGTACTTTTTATCCTTTAGGGCAGGGATCGGCAACCCGCGGCCAGCGAAGCAATTTTTGATGGCCCGCACAAAGGTGGTTCATTTTTGTGTTTTATTTTTGTTCAATAGATAACATTTTCAAAATTATTCAATTCTTTTTTCTTTATAAATAAAATCGAGTCTAATCGTTAGTAGCATTGCATTGCTTTATAGTTGATAATTGATATAGTTAATAGTTGATGTTTATTCTATATATAGTTATATAGGTAGTCAGTTTAATCGATAAAATTGTTATTATTATATAATCGGGGTCGAAGATAATGATGGCTGCACCACTCGGTCATAGTTACTTTGGTCTTTGAGTTTGTAGCGATTAGTATTACACCGTAGTATCACATCGAAAATTTAACTAATAAACTGCAGGCACAGAAATCTCATTCATTACAAATTTACAATTTTTTATTTAATTAAATTTGTCATTAAAAGCAATTTTTTCCATTAACATTTGTATTTTATTAAGGCGCGTCCAGACGGAGCAACTTTTGCCGCGCGGCACGGCCTCGCGGCATGAGTGTGAATACATAAATACATTTTCCGCGGCTTTTTTTGATGCCGCGCGGCATAATTTCCGATCGGCCTAGTAGGCGGTCTACATCAAAGGAAAGCCGCGCGGCTTGTGCCGCTCGCCTATGCCGCGTGTGTGTGGACGTATTTTCGGCAAAGCCGCTCGACATCAGTACTTATTTTTTAAGTATTTAAATTATTTTTTAAGTAATTAGTAGCAGAACAAACTTTTTTCATTTTCACTGAGGTAAAACTGATTTCTGTTGTAATCTCCAGTGAATACAATTTTTATTTTATCAAAATGTCAATACTGAAGATTTTCTGTTTTTAAAAATACAAAGATCAATAATGATTTTTCAAAAATCTTTAATTTCATGTTTTTTGAGATTCAAAAATATAGATTACTAGCTGATCTCGTGCACTTCGTTGCCCATTCAAAATGACACAACTCTATAGTAATTATGAATAATATATTATTATTAAAATAGCAGCTTTAAAACCCATAGCGACCATTTATAAACAAAAATCCCTGTTTGAGCACCTTCCGGGGTTGGTCCTCCCCCTTCATAAATTAGCCTATCTTCTGCCCATCTAATCTATCTCTGTACCAAATTTCATCAACATCGGTCCAGTCATTTAGGAATGCATAAAGGACACACAGACAGACAGACAAACATTCATTTTCATAATATATATGGATAATGGATATGTGAATAACATAACCACTATGATCAACTTTACCGACGGACTAAAATAATATTTCTGTTTTCGTATCAAACTCCTATATTTTGTGCCTATAGGCTACAAGCGACTAAATCGTAGGTATTTTCGTTATTTTTATGTTACTAAAAGTATTTTAAGAATAACGTTATATTAAAAGTAATTAATTTAATTAAAAATACTTTTAGGTACATGGACAAATATTAATATTTAATTAAAATGTAAAACCCAAAAATTCTTGTTCAGTTTTAATAAGCCACTGTCTAAATTAAGAACCCCATATATTATAAACCCATGAACATGGATATTTATTTTTAATATTAAGCAATAATAGTAGAGTAGGTACCTACACACAAATTATAGACAAAATACCTCAGTCACTCCACTATATTTTACAAGTGTTGATGTGTATCTACAGTACTGAGTACACTATATTGGTATTGAAATTCAAAGTGTTGTGAAAATTTGCATTAAAAATGACCGATCAACCGACAAGTAGTGTTGAATGGTCAAATGAAAAGTGCCTACTGTTGATCGATTTATACAAAGAATCGACAAATCTTTGGAACACCAAACACAAGGACTATAGAAATCGTTACATAAGACAAGATAGTTTGCTAGAAATTAGCAAACATATGGATACGTCAAAAGAAGAAGTTGACCGAAAATTAAAAAATTTAATTTGTCACTTTTGGCGTGAAGTGAAAAAAGTTAAGCAACAGCGTTCTGGGGATGGTGCTGATGAAGTTTACTGCTCCAAATGGTTCGCTTTCAAAAGCTTCGAATTCTTGAAGGATAGAAATGACTGTCGACCAACTATCGAAACTGGCACCGTACAGGTATGCATCATAAATACATAGTATTTTTTTATTAAAAAAGTAAATAAGCGAACAATTGCTTAAATAGATATTTGCTTATTTATAATTTACATTAACCTTTTTAATACAAAACAAAATATAATTAAATATATATACAACAGACTTCGACAGTGGCGTATATAGAAATTATTTTTGGGGTGGGCTATAGTAGATAGAAACTAGCAGGTGATCTATAACTTAGAGGCTGCTGTCTACTATATTATATTTAACAGTTTTTATAAATATATTCGTATTCGTTATTTTTCAACAGGCTATGAAATATTACAACTTATAATAGTACCTATAAAATATATTGTTATTCTATTTAAAAAGACTGTAATTTCAGGGGGGGCTGCAGCCCACTAGGTCCAACCCCTATATACGTCACTGGACTTTGATATACCTAATAATAATAGTTAGTATTTTTCTCAAGTCATATCAATATTGTATGTGCATAGTATAATAATATAAACATTACTACTTATTGACATTTGGCAATAATGAAATACCAAAAAACAAAATTTATAAATTTATTTATTTTTAAATAGTTGATTTATTTACCTATCCTTTGGTAAAATTAACACGTATCATATAAAATAATCATATATTATAATAAATAATTTACATACATACTGATACTATAAGTACACATATTTTATGCACATAAATCTTGCCACGGAACTCGTCCTTCATTTGAATTAAAATACTCTTTAAATTCTTCCCTGATCTTATGCGCTTCAATAGTTTGTCTGCGTCCTACCCTATCTAACCCCATAAAACTATTTAATCCTACTTGATCACTTCTCCATGTTCCTGGTGTTATTTCTCCTGTATCAATATTTTCAAAATCAACTGTACCAGTTTGCCAGTACGACTGTTTTGAAGAAGAACTTTTTCTTAAATAGTTATGTAGATGTAAGCACGCTAAAGTAATTATTTCTGCTTTGTTTGGTTCAACTAACATCGGTTTACGAAATATTCTAAAAACTGAAGCCAATATACCAAATAAATTTTCCACGACTCTTCTACCCCGGCTAAATCTGTAGTTACATATTCTTTCTTTTGAACCTTTTTCGTGGTGGCCTGAGTAGGGTTTCATAATATTGTGTGATATGGGAAACGCATCATCTGCAATGAATACATACGGAATCGGATTACTCCTTCCTCTCAAAGGTCGAGAATCAGGAAGTTTAAGTTGACCAGATATCATTAAGTTTTTGAATTTCATATTGTCAAAAACACCACCATCAGAAATACGTCCCTGACTACCAACATTAGCCCATATTACATTATAATTAGAATCGGATGCAGCCATCAAAACAATACTAAAAAAACCTTTATAATTATAATATTCTGTTCCACTATTCATCGGTGATTGTAATGCTATGTGCTTGCCATCCCATGAGCCGATACAATTTGGTACATTCCATCTCGTTTCAAAACCGTTGGCAATATCAAGCCATTCTTCGACAGTATTCGGTCTCTATAAAAAATACAAAATGATATTGAAATTGTATGGTTTTGAATTATAATAAATAACTAATAATTAGGTAGGTAGGTATTAACTCAAAAAACACATAAGTATTCATAAATAATAATCAAAGATTAAATAAATTAAAAATATATATAATAAAATAAACTTTACTTTTTATACTTTTAAAATATATTGTACCTTATTAATATTTTTACTATTCAATTTTTTTATGTTAAATTTTTATTATATTATTTATTTAATGGTCATTAATGTTTTAAAATTAAGCATATAATTGATATAGTGATTAAATATTATGTATTATTTTTATAGTACCTAATTTGATTATAAAGTATAAACAGATCATTTTATGTGGCCTATATCTAAATAAAATAAATAACATTATATGTAAAATTAAAATTGCATAAACCTATATGTACTTCTTTTTAGGTAAGTGATATCAACACAGATGAAGACATTATTTTAAATCAATCATCGCAGTCAATTATTTCAAATCTGTCATCTGTTTCACATACGAACTCAGCTTCTCCACAGGAACCGAACACTTCAAATCCAGCGAATAAAGGAATCAAAAGAAAAGGGAAAAAAGATGTTATAGGAGAACAGATTGTTAATATGGTTCGTGGTATTTATGATAATCGATCTGCACGAGATGAATTTGTGTTACTTGGCGAAGAAGTGGCAAATGGCGTTCGAAATTTAAAAACCGACTATGCTCGGAAAACAATTAAATTTAAAATTCAAACTATGCTTTATGAAGCCTCACTAGGTCACTATGATTTTCCACCTAATATGCAAAATTGGTATTTAGACAATAATAAAATATAAGATACATTTAGATCAGGTTTTCATGGTAATTGGTAACTATAGTACATGTACACTGAGTTTGCTCTTGTTTAGTATTTGATTATTTATAAAATATAATTAATAATATATTTGACTTACTTTAATAAATTCTTTCAGTACATCAATGATAGCAGTACAAACTTCGGGAACAATTTCTGAAATTGACTGTTTAGATATTTTAAATAAATATGATAAGCTCATATATGAGTCACCGGTAGCTAAAAATCTTAGCGTAACTGCGAGCCTTTCTTGCACTGGTATAGCTTGCCTCATAAAAGTATCAGATTTTTTTATTATTGGCTCTATTTTGCACAATATGTATTCAAAATCTGAACTTGACATTCTTAAAAAATTATGAAATGAACCTCGTAATTCAAAATTTAATTCATCATCTTCTCTTAATTCGTTTAATAATTTTGATCCATTAGCAACTTTTCTGCTCTGCAAACTTGGGCGAACCCACCATTTTTTTTTCCGCGCTTTTGTATGATTTTTGTACGCATACAACAACGCAAGCGCACAAACGACATCCTCCTCCGATGACATTTTGGCACTAACTGATTTAGTCCAAATTATTGTCTACTGGAAGATAATTGGGAAATAAATGCCGCACCGTGTGGACGCGTATTTGCCGCGCGGCACGTGGCCGACGGAGGCCGCGCGGCATGGCCGCGCGGAAAAAGCTGCTCCGTCTGGACGCGCCTTTACACTCATATTTCTATGTAAACTAATCAAATATAATAGCAATACACATATTAGTTTTATATACATATATCATAAGTAAAATTGTATTTTTAATGTGGCCCTTGATGAACATTTGAAAAAAAATATGGCCCGCGTGGTTCAAAAGGTTTCCGACCCCTGCAGTTTAGGGCTTAGGCTTTAATAATGCATTTATTCCAATATTCTGATTTTTGGAGTTTTTATGTATTTTTAAAAGTTAAAGGCCACATTTATTGCAAATAGCCAATAGGTATTTATTTTAAATCCTATACTATATTTAAGTATTTGTATACTATTTAACGAGTACTGAGTAGGTAGGTACCTACTTTGTATTTCTGTGACGAAACAAATTTCTTTTTTTCAAATGTGTACCTTCAACCTAATTAAGTATAATATAGTATTATATACTTAAGTACCATTATAGGTACCTACTTAACACTTTTTACAAGCTACATAACAAATTAGAATAAGAAGTTTGTATCACCATTCACCACAGAACTCCAAGCGGTCCGAGATGAAAATATTCACTAAAATAGTAAGTTAAATAATATTGTTTAGTTTAGGCAAACCAATTTCACTGGGGAATATAATAAGTAATAACCTACATGAACTAAGTAGGAACTAGGAATGGTTGAATATTTTCAATAAATTCATATTTGGTAATTGGTATAATATGGTAAAGGATTAACACTACAAGGTTTACAAAGAATAGTGACATTCGAATCTTTAAGTTGCATAAAAAAATCTGTTGAGTCAGTTGTATTCCGTATAGTCACATAATATTTAATATTAATATACAAAATATTACCATTGGGCATTGATTGTGAAAGCTCATAATATTAAGTACCTACTCATAATTAATTAATGGTATTATCAAGATTTTGTTACCCACATTAAAATATTAGGAACACGACATGACATGGAGCTGTAGCGGTGACTGGTGGTTACTACTGTTACTACTCTTACTAGTTAACCCGGCTTAACCAATAAGTAAGTATAAGTATGTGACTTGTTTGTACAAATTAGTAGGTAGTCGGTATTATTTAATTTTCGTCTTTTGGAAAATTTGAAAAAAAAATACTTACCTACAATTAGGTACAAATTAGTAATTACTGTAGTTGTTGATTACTGATAATTGATATCACGGAGATAATAAATTTACAAATTACAAAACACGTTGTCGTGATAATTGTTATCAGTCATAACAAAGAGACAAACGGAAACGGTGTTTAGACTTTGGAAGTTTCGAATTCTATATTTCTATGGATCATTGGATCATCTATTCATCTGCCTCATCTCATTCAGTTAAACCTATTTCAAAGTGGCCTTTTTTATTCAGCTGTCTTTAGTTTTGTCTGCTTAATTTTGGATCGACACGATGCCCGTGTCTGAGTATTCGAAAGACTCTGACCGAACTACAGATGTACAGACACACGATCAGACGCCATTCGACGCCATAATAACGGGCCATCCACTTATATTGAAAGGTCTATCTGATTGTGGGTTCACAAATGCATCTCCGATACAAGTTGCCGCTCTACCGACAATCATCGCAGGACATGGTAATTTGTACAAAGTATTTTCATTTCACACCTTACCGTATCCTACATGACATATGATTTTATATTTATAGACACAATAGTTGAAGCAAAAAATGGAACAGGAAAGACATTAACTTTTGTTATACCAACTTTGATAAGACTGAAATTAGAACAGGTTCATTTACAAACTATTATTTTGGCACCAACACGAGAAATCGCTGTGCAAATACAACAGTGTTTCAAAAAAGTCGGGCAGCACTTACCAGGTACTTTCAAGAAAACATAATTTTTCTCCAAAGTTGACTATAAAACAATCACTAGGTTATACCTTTCAGTGTATATGCCTATATTATCTAAATAAAGGGGACGAGGTGGCCGAGCGGTCCAACGCGTCGGCTGCAGCGCAGCCGATCCGGGTTCGATCCTTGGTCACCGGGCGGCATTTTTCTTCGGGCGAGCCACGGTGTCCGGAGAATAAGTGCCGCCATCCCCCCCCCCACTCCGGGGTATGGCAGAAACCTACGGGTGCCCCAATAGAAATTCTGCCAAACACTCGTGTGTTCCTAATGCATATGAGACACGTAAAAAAAAAAAAAATCTAAATAAAGATTTATTTCTTAATTAAGTACTTCAAGTTGTTAAACATTAGTAATTATATATTAGTATAGATTAGTATACATTAGTTAAGATAAGTATAGATTAGTATACATTGGTAAGTTATACATAAGTATCTATACGGTTTTACGTTGTAAGATACAAAATCTAATTTAAACTTATCTGCTTGCAAAATTTAGAACTGAAATGTGAATATTTCATTGGTGGTACTCCAGTTGATGTTGACAAAGAGAAGGCAAAGTGCTGTCAAATAGCTGTTGGTTCCCCCGGACGTATCAAACACCTCATCAACGAGCATGTGTTAAAATGTTCAGAAGTAAAGAGCTTTATACTCGATGAAGTTGATAGATTAGTTACTGACAAAAGTTTTACAAAAGATGTTCGGTAATATTATTAATATTTATTTGAATAGAAAATTAAATAAATAAATATTGTACCTATTTGAAACTGTGTATGTTTACTTAAGAGTAAATATTTTTGTATTCATAAGTTAGCCGTACTTTAAATGTATTAGTCAGTTAGTTATTCACAGTAGATATTAAAACAAATAAGTAGTACAAAATTGTTTAGATTATTGCAAAAGGTATATTATCCATTTTTACAATTAAAAAACTGTAATCTTAAATGCAAGTTACTATATTTTTTTCAATATTTTACTGAAGTCTATAAATTTTATTGATTATTCGTTCTTTTTTACATACCTAATTACCTATGATTATTTCAAAATTCAAATTTTAGTTTAATTTAAAAAAAATAAAAAGACTTAGAAGACAAAGTCTAACAATGATTTTATCATAGACTATTATAATGATGAGTAAAAATTGGTTATCATAAAATTGTATGTACCATACAAATGTTTTCATTATAACTGATCCTTTAAATATTAACTAGTGATAGGTACTCGGATTTATGAAATTCAAATTTTCGCAAATCCTGATTAGAATATCTGGATATTTAAATGTTATGCCCACCATTAATTTCTACTAGACAAAACATTTATACTATACATATGTTAATTGATAGAACATTTATAATTTTTTTCATTTAATCAAGTTCTCTTCAGTAGATATATGTATACCTATAAATATTAATTTAAATAATACCTAAACTAATTAGATACTTTTTAGTTTTTATGACCAAATGTTTAATGAAAATATTTTTAATTAAGGGTAAAAATCTGTTTTTGTTCTTTTTAAAAAAAATTTAATGAAAAGTTACCTAGATTAGACACGTTATTTTTACTTCTGATGTAAACATTGCATTACTGCTGATTATAATTAATAACTATAAAATATTTTTTTTTCCAGACTGATTGATGCTAAACTTCCGAAATTAAAGCAAACAATTGTTGTAAGTGCATCAATTGATAAAAATGATATGTCTGTCTTTGATGAGTTCATGAAAGAGTATATTGTGGTCAAGGGAGCAGAAGAGGATATGAATGCTTTACAAGACCCTTCAAAGTTCCTATTAGGTATTAAGCAATATGTAGCATGTGTTAAAGCAGTCAGTACTAATATAATATTATTACCTGCAAAAAATGTGCGACTCCTCAATATATTACAAAATTTGCCATATACTCAATGTATCATATTTACTAATTACATGACAAGGTACCGTCATAAATAAACATATTACACAAAAATAGTGTATAGTAATTTTTTATTCTATTTAATTTTACAGAGTTGAAGCTGTTTGTAATATGCTACGTGACCATAAGTATAAAGCTGATTACATTAGAGGTGATCAAGATCAAAGTGTTCGATTGGAGTTAGTAGATAGATTAACATCTTTTAAATCAAAAATACTTGTTGCCACGGATTTGATAGCCAGAGGAATAGATTCATCAAATGTAGACCTGGTGATTAATATGGACTGTCCAAATGACTGGGCTACATATCTACACAGAATTGGCCGAGCTGGAAGATTTGGAAACAAAGGTTGGATAATAGTTTTTATAAGTCTGAATTTACATAAAACTGATACATTCTTTTTAGGAAATGCTTTTACAATATTGGACGATGACAAAGAGTTGAAAACTTTTAAAAATATTATTAACAGTATTGAAAGTATTAAGGTCAAAATGCTACCGATTGCAATTACAAAACCTATACTTGAATATGCAGACAATGAGCTTGAAGAACTTAATTTAACAACTGAACCGGATATTTTACCAATACAAGAAACTGAAAGTAACATAACAAAAGAAAATGGAAATAATGTAATTGAAGAAAACTTAACAAAACATAGTGAAAGTAAGACAGTCTTTTTAAATAATCAATATTGGTACATTCAAATTTATTTTTATTATTTTTATTCAGGTGATTCTAACTTGAGTCCTAATGTAATTGAATCAAATATCAACAGTATAGCTAAAGAATATCAACCATGCTCTGAAATAAAATCAGTTTATGCCTATGGTGTATCTGAAGAGGAGTCACTACAAAAGCTACGTAAAGTTGTTAAAGAAACCGAAAAAAAACTCATTGAAGATAATATGGTTGACAAAAGACTTTTAACTGATGATAGATCGTTTGTGTTATTTGATCCAGAACCCTTTCTTGAAGACACTGATCAATATCCAGAATATAGTCCTGATGATCTATTAGAAATTATGACAAAGTATGATTCAGATTTTGAAAAATATGAAGCTGATAAAAACCGAATGTTAAAAAACACAGTACTCCAAACCGTTAGTGAAAATGAACTCTCTAATATTAATCAAGTGTGTGAAGAAAATGATTTTCCAAATTTGTCCAACATTACTGATAAGAAAATAAACGATATAAATACAAATCAGCAACATGAAGCTCAAATTAATTGTGAAGACAATAAGCAATTTGTTAATGAAGTATGTTCAGAAAACAACTCTTCAAGGAAATCAAACAGCAGTGTCGATGACACTAAAATTGATACAAATAATAGTCAAAGACTACGATTCACTGATATATATAGTTTATTTCAAATACCAGATTTTAGTCTTTTAAAGCCTGCACAGCATGATAGTGAAGTTGCCCATTCGTCAGATGTAGGAGAGAGTGATGTGTCAACATCTATAATTTGTGAAAAGGGAAGTGAAGATGAAGAATTGTTTGAAGAAGAAAGCTGCGGTGAAGAAGAAGAATGTAGTGAAGAAGAAGAATGTAGTGAAGAAGAAGATTACTGTGATGAAGAAGAATCCTGTGACGAAGAAGAATCCTGTGATGCAGAAGAATCTTGTGATGAAGAAGAATACCATGTTAAACAAAAATATTGCAATGAAGAACATGGTGTTGGTAAAAAAGAATATGAGGAAGAAAATTATGAAGATATTACAAATAAAAATTGCTCTTATGATGATCATCTTGACAACCGTGGGATATATTTTGTGAAACACAACAATAAATCTATACAAAAATCACTTTGCAACAATATCAAAGAATATAATGTACCTAAAAGAGAAGAAGAAATTATTGAAAACAATGATCAACAAATAGTGGATTATGAAATTTTAAATGACTGGTATAGCCAGTGGAAACAGCAAATGAGTCGCATACAAACAATTGTTAGGATGAGTAAGTGATTGTCTAGCGTGATTAGCTATAAGTTCAAGAGAACTGAATGATTTTTTTGTTAAGAAACTTTTAACTCTGTATTATAATTTAAAATGTAGTTTTTTTATGTTTTGGTGAATAATGATATGCACCTATTAAATTTTTTGTGTACTTTTTTTTTTCATAAACAATAAAACGCCACAAAATGTATTTTAATAATTATTATATTATTATTTTCTTTACCGTTATGATAAACATTTATCAGTCGTAATAACTACTAATAATAGTATTATAAATACCTACAATTAATAATAATATCATATTAAGGGTATTATAATAATATCACGATAAGTTTTATACATTATATATTATATATATACATAGAGAGAGCAAGACATATAAAGTGAGAGAGAGAGAGACACACACACACGATTTTCTCGATCGACTTGAGATCACGACGCCGTTTTTGTTCGTTTACTATCAAAAAAATGACAAACAATAATGTGACAAGTATGGTAAAATAATATACATTTTAATATTTCGTTATAATTAATATAATATTAAACACGCGGCCGAGGCGCCGACGACACCGAAGCGGGCTGCGGCCGTGCAACCGCGGCCGTCGACCCGTTCCGCAACCGGCCGGCCGCGAAGTCGTACACCGCGTCCCGGTTCCTGTAGATGATGTTGGCGAACTGGTCCACGTTGCCGTACGTCTCGAACCTGGTGTTGGCGCACATGCGGGCCTTGGGCTCGGGCAACCCGGCGTCGCACTCGACCGGGTGGTAAACGTGCACCAGGTCTGGGTCGGCGGCGCGGAACACGGACGCCGCGGTCCGCGACCGCACAAACTTCTCGTACAGGTCCACGTCCTCGTTGCCCCAGCCCCGGATGGAAGTGTTCAGACCGCCGGCGGCCGCCAGGTCGGTGGCGTACGCGCTGACGATGCCGAACCCGTACTGCCGCCAATACCCGGTGTCCTGGTTGACCAGGAAATGGTTCGGCGACCCTTCCGCCCGGCCGTACACCACCACGGGGTCGTATTCGCTGTAAACGATCGGAAAGTACGCGGTGCGGCCGCGGACCGTGTTCAGTCGGACGCGGTCCAACGTCTCGGCAGTCCACAGCATGTCCACGTCGACGAAGAACAACAGGTCGTCCGGTGGCCGGCCGGCCGCGTGGACGGCTCCCGCATGCAGCGCGGCCGCTCTGGCGAACGGGACACCGGGGTCGGGCAGCACGGTGAGCCGGGCGTTCGGGTGACGGCCTGCGAGCTGCGCCACAGCGGCGACCGCCCCGTCCGCGGTGGCCTGCCCGAACGGCACCACCGTCAACGTGACGCGTTCGTCGTTCGCCAGGCACACCGACTCGTAGTTGTCCACGAACCGGGCGAACGTGGCCAACCGGTTGAACAGCGGCAACACGAAGTGCACCGTCTTGGCTCGGCCGTCGGCCCGACGCTTGGCCGGCGGCACGTCCTGCACCCGGACCATGCCGTTGTCCGCAATGTCCCTGGACGGACTCCCCGCCGCGTCGTCGTCGTCGTTGTCGTACGCTTCGGCGTCCTGCTGCTGCGTAACGGGCTTCACTTCCGACCCGTCCAGCACTTCGCGCACTTCGAAACCTGTAATGACCGAATCGTATGGATTAGTATAGGTATTTGATTATTATATTTATGTTATATTTAACATTTAAAATAGAAATTCGATTAGAAGAAAATATTAATTATTAATTCGTTTAATATCAATAGCAATAATCGTCTAATATAATTTAGTTGGGTGTACTAAAACATCTGAACACCGCCATTAATAACATTCTAGTCGTATTATAGAAGTATTTATTTCGTCATACTATTATCATTACGGTTTTTGTGTAACTCGAGATTCAAATAAAATAAAAATTTCGAAAAATATCAAGTCCTGCACAATAAATGTATAATATAGTTTCTAAATTATTACTATAAATAATAGATATACTACATTATTAAAGTATATTACAGTTTATTGCATGATTGTGATTTTATTTATGACTGCGATAAAACATTATAATTAATTATAGTTGTAAATAGGAATGTGAGTTTGTGTATTTTATAAAATGGTATAAAATTGTATTACAATACTAGTTATTATATACACGGTATACAATTATTTTATACTGGTTGTATACAAAAAAAATAATATTAGTTAATAACATATTATAAGAAATTTAATTTGATACTTTAAGAATGTAATTTAAGTAGGTACTGTGAATTGTAACTACCTTATTTTAACTGGGTAGGTACATCATGATTGTTAGCATGCTTTTTAATATTAATTTACTCTAAAATAATTCTTGTACCTATTACTGTAGTTGTTAAAATTATTTCTGAAATTATTAAGCTATTTTAAATTTGGTCATAATATACAATAGGTAGTTAAAGTCTTATAATCTGTGTTCACTTCCTGATAATTTAAGGTAGGTACTGCAACATTCCATACGGTATAATACAAAAAAACTTTATTTCAACATCCCTAGTAGTAATACCCTAGTATAACCCAATATATACTCCCTATAAAGTCATAGAAATCATTTAACAAACTGTAATTATTTCGTGTTAAAATGTTGGAAAATTAATATCAAATATGTTTATTGTTTGATGTTTATACATACACATAAGTTAGATCTAAGAATATTTAATAAAGTTATTATTATTTTTATAATTTGTAAACCAATTATTTGCTGTTAATAACGAATAATTAGTCGTGGCAAATGGTATTCATAATAAAACAATTATTATAGGTACACTTATACCTAACATTTTAACATGTAATTTTTTTTTAACCATAAATACGCCTCAAGCTGAATTTTGGGCAATGAGCATGCCTAATTTAATGGAAATTAAATTAAACTGGAATATATTGTATTATCAATGTCTAAACTCCTAAACTTAGTGTTTTTATAATTAAATTTCAACGTTGGAGAAACGTAGAATAGATTTAGTCCAACCAATATCTTAACAACAATAGATATATAAGTTACCAGTTACATTATACTTTCAAGATCCTACTAGGCATTCAAAATGGTGGCTTACATTTTTTTTTAATCAAATTAAAAAAATCAAAAACTTTTAACTAAATGTGTTATTAAAATGTTCTTCAAATACATATAACATATAATATGATAAGTTGTCTAAAATAAATAAGCAGTGGGTTTTTTTCTTTTATCAAAATTCATATATTTGCAGTTATAATCAAGGCCATATAGATCATATGTATAGGCCGTGGGTTACAATTAAAAACAAAGTTTGCACTTATCAGTATTTAGTGTGATAATGATTTGAAGATTAAAAATGCATTCCATTCAACTTTTAATATTGTTATCAGATTATTGTAATAAAACAAACTTTTTTCTGTATTCCTAAAGAATAATCGTGTGAAAAATTGTCTATACCAGCTTATATTAAATAGTGAATAAATACCTACTGTATACCTAATATTATACTATTGTAATCAAAAGTTGAACGACGATAGATTTTTGGATTTAATATTATCCAATAAAATACACATACTATGGTCGATGGTTATTATTATAATATTTTGAAAATAAATCCACTAAACAATTTAATTCGATTTCCTTGTCCGAAAAACACGGCCGACAAGCCGCTATAGTTTAATAGTTACACTATAATATCATATTATTATTATTATTGTCCTCCTTGCCTGTAAACTGCTGTTGGAGGTATGCGTGTCGCCGCACAGGAACGGTCATCTTTTTTCCCCGATACTTCTTGTACATCAGCAACATGTCCAACATGTAGTCCACGCCGAACAATGGATTCACCCTCTGGTAACCGTAAAATATTTCCTTAAAATCGATCACCCGACCGCGCTGCTTGGAAAATGTATTTATCAGATCCATCACCTGCAGAAGAATATACGATATAATATATAATATATATTTACCTATATACAGAAATTCAATAATATATATAGACAGCAGTTCAAATCCATCATCATTGCATAATTGCCTTATTTGGAGCATTTTTTATTGTTTTAATGTGTCAAGATGAAAATTAATCAAAAAAATCGGTAAGAAACATTTTATCGTGTACTCTGCAGCCCAAAAAACATATGTTGTATAGGTATATTAAAGCAAAATGTTCAATCTTGTTCGACATCATTTATATTATAGATAATTATAATTATATCTTTAATATTATATTAGATTTTGTATTATTATTTTCGTAGGTAACTATCTATTAGTTACACTGATCCTGCAATGTTATTGTGATAACGTGATAGTAGCAAATATTGAAATTATGACATGATGTATAATTACGTATATAGATCAGGGGTGGCCAACAGGAAAATCGCGACTCCCTCTCGGCTTTCATTGGGGTTTTTTTCAAAAAAAAAAAATAAAACATTAATTTAAAATTTATTGTTTTTTATTTAACCCACGGATATAAAAATGAATCACACAATTTGATTCAAGTTCAAATAATATTATTGATTTTGTTTGGCAACATAAAACTGTGAAAAATGAAATTATACATTCATGATTCATATAGTGACTATGAACATTTTACGTAATCCGATGAATATCAACGTATTAGCCCATATTGACTAGGTATCCTATTTACGAATTAAATATATTAAAATATTTTATCATTACAACTTTCAAATAAAGCGTTATTTAAATAAAAATTATAACATGCACATACATAATACGACTTGCATAATATCATTGAAACGTTTTTTTTTTTTCATCATTATAATAAAAGTATTAAATCGATCGACAACGATCGCGACAACATAGAAAATCTCAGAGTTCGATGATAAGTCTATTAAAGTTGGCCACCCCCGATATACTGCATTACTGCCATACAGGTGATAATGTAGGTACATAGAGTTTTGAAAACAATGATAATTAGACATTTCATTCATTCATTGTAATTTGTAAGTATATGTATAGATATCTGATATTCTCAAGCAAACTTAATATTTTATAATATTGTATTGTATACGAGTATAGATACCTCCCGGACGAC